TTGGGTTTCCGGAGGCAAGCTATTTACAGAAGTGGATGCCACTCCTGTTTCCAAGCTTGTTTTAACTGGGGAGCTCTACCAAGCACTGTCCACCATGGGTAACCATTATCATATTTGACACGTCAGTGTCACAGTGTTCAGCTTCACAGCGACCACGTTACCTCTGTACAGCAAGTGGACACACCTCAGGAGAGAATGAATAATTGTTAATGTTTGACAATAGGAATGCTAAGCTCTAGAAATGGCTTTGAATGCCACTTAACACCTTCTTACTTTCTGAGCAGGTTGGTCAGAAGAAAAAAGATCCCACACATAAAACCTTTAATCCAAATTAAGTTTTTGACTCACGGTAAGACAATACTAAATGCTGAAATAGGTAATACTTTTTATCTTATAAATAGGTCTATATTTGTTAAAATATTCAAAGTACTAATTTTTGCTTTTTTTCCAGAGATCTCAGGGCACCTCCAGAACAAGGAAAAATTTTTATCACACGGCGCTCTCTCTTAGAGTAAGTACTTTGAATTGAATTGCTTTTGTTAATTTTCCATTTGATTTAAAAAACAAAAATCACTACACCACTATCAGAATCACTAATCTTGGAATGAATGTTTAATGAATTTGTCCTATATTAATATAAATTAGTTGTTACATTTTTTTGTGCATTCTTTCTGATCATTTACTTTTTGCTCAGTCACTTATTAGCTGATTCTATATACTTTGACAGAAAAGGTTAGAAGTAAGATTACCTGTCATCTGTTAAATTCTTTGAAGTTGTACCACACAAGACTGGTAACCCCAAAGAACTAAAAAATTTCCTGAGTAAAACATTGTTAGAGTTTGGAGTTGCTATCTTTTTGTTCTGTAGATTTGAGGATTTTTACTCCTAAAAAGTTCTTTCTTTTTTTTTTTAATGTAAAAAAATTTTTTTTTATTATTTTTGTGTGAGTGTATCGTCAAATCAGATCTGACTGATACAGGAGGAGATTGTCCCTCTTTCCCCGACAGAGCATCAGGTAGAGTCGAACCGAGCACCTCTGGGATTGTAGTTGCAGCTCCTTGCCACTAGGCCACCAAAGCTCCCCTAAAAAGTTCTTTCACTAACAAGCTTAGAGATTTAAAAATTCTTTAAGATAATTTCAAAGCCTCCATATCATGTTACCTTGCAAACCAGAAGGCCAGGCATGTCTGGATGTACAAGTCTATCAACTGCTCCAATCTTCCAGTGACCATGAGGAAAAAAAGGAAAAAAAAAAGTGGTTTCCTCCCATTAATATTTATAGGATTGTAAACCCAAATGTAGGTTGCTGTGGTCGAAATCGGCTTGATGGTAATGAGTTTGAATTTTAATTTTGTTAATTTTTTTAAATTTTGTGAATTTTTATGAAAATAATTTTTGGAAATATTATTTGTAAGCACTTACAGTATTGTAAGCGCTAGCTCTGAATGGTTGGCCTAATGGCAAAAAGCTGCACTGCAATCCCGAAGGCATGCAGTTCAAGGCCGTCAGCCATTCCACTGGAGAAGGGTGGGCACTCTTTTTCTATGCCATTAACTGCCTCTGAAAAACCCACTGGAGGGTCAGCTGTGGGTAAGTTTTGACACTCTGGTACACAGCAACAACACAACATAATTGTAAGCTCTTTGGTAGATGATGACTGTGTTTTATGAGCAATTGATATACTCATTCATCTGTTCATTTGAGTACTGCTGAAATTTAAACTCTTAGAATGTTGTGAAATGGTGTTGAGTATAGTGCTTCACCTAAAAATAAATTTTTTTTTTTAAATGCTTCCTGGGTCATTAGAGATTTTTTTCCTATCTCAGTATTAAAACTTGTGGCTTTTTCAGTTCTTTCATTTGTTTTCAGTTCTTTCAGTTTGAGAAATGTTGAGCAAGGTTTTTTTTTAATTCTGAGTCCACCTCTTAGACTTTCTGAAATACTTGGTTGCACAAAGTTTTCTAAGTGTCTTAATGAGCTTTTCTTTCACAATATACCTTATACTTACTAAAATTCACTTTCTCTAACCCAAACTGATAACGTGAGTCCTTCTTGGAGGCAAAGATGGCGAAGCTTCCTCTCTCATATTTTGGTCATGCAGCTAGATGAGGCTTTTCATTGGATAGGGACATTTTGCTGGCAAGATGGAGGATCAGCAAAGCAGGGGAAGACTCCTAATTAGATGGATTGACACAGTGACTGCAGCAATGTCAGAGACAATGAGAATTTCATAGGATAGGGCAGGGTTCAGGTCAGCTCTTTATAGGGTCACACTGTAAGTCGTACTCAAAGGCACCTAACACCATCACCACCAACAACCCTTCATAAGAAAGCCAGAGTTTTCTAAAAAGAAATTGTACAATTCCGTTTCAGTTTTGCCACACTATATTATTTGAAGAGATTTATCTTTTCAAATTTATATTTATGGAAATAAAATTTCTTAGTATTAAAATTAATATTTTAATGATAGAATTGTACAAAAACCAAAATGTACCAGGGAAAGACAACATTAAAGAAAATAAAAGGACCAAATAAACCAAACTTGCTTTTGGTAGCATAAATGTGTTTTTGTTGGAATCTGAAGTGATTTAATCAAGAAATTTAGCTACTTTGAAAGATTATTTAAAAAGTTGGCATGTATCAAAAATCTCTGTAAATGTTCATTAAAATTAATAGTGGTTCAAATCCACCAGATGCTCTGGTGGAAAAGGAGGGGCAATCTCCTCCTGTACCAGTTAGATCTGATTTGACGGTACATACACAAAAAATAATAAAAAAATAAAAACTAAAAAATTAATAAAATTTTAAAAACACACCAAGGTTTAAAACTTGTTTTGGAGTCATTTGGAAAAAGTAATTTAGAAATTGCTGTGTTCTGAAGTAGTCCAGTGTTAGTCACATATAACAAATAAGAAGTTTACTACAGATCCTAGAAAGCCTATAGGATAGGTTAGGTGTTAAAATAAATGCCTTGTGCCCGCTTCGGCAGCACGTATACTAAAATTGGAACGATACAGAGAAGATCAGCAAGAAGCATTCCATATTTAAAAAATAAAAATTAAAAAAAAATAAATGCCTCTTAAGAGTTTCCAAGACTGTAAATTATAAATCTTGAAGAAAGCCAACTGCTTCAGCTTTTCCCTATATGTTACCTGGTGATTGAAACAGCCAACCTTTCATTTATCAGCACAATGCTTGATCCTCCAGACAGCACTCATTTACTTACTCATTGCCAGTAAATCAGAACCAACTTACAGCTTACTTTATGGGAGGAGATTGCTCACTTTCTCAGTCTCGCTCAGTCTCTCTTAGAGCTCACCAGAACTCCCTACCAGAAGCCACTTAATTGTGGTATTGTGTGCCATCAAATTGGAACTGATCCATAACTGACCCCCCAGCAGGTTTCCAAAGGGATTAAATCTCACAGGAGGTGATGATCCATCCTTATCTCATAGAGCAGTCTATGAATTTGAACGCTGTGCTTTTGGAATTGCAGCACAGCCCCAGACTCCACTAGGGCTCCTAATTAAGGATGGGGGAAGGAAGGATAGGGTGAAAATATAATCTGTAAATTAATAACCTTTATAAACTATAGAGTGGTGTGAAAAGAGCAAGAGCCATGTGGCCACTGTCGTATCTAACCCTTATCAGCTTCACAGAAGGGGATCTGTCCCTGTCAACAGCATCAACAACCTAAAACCAGTTTCCTTGAGACCAAACATGTCTGCTACACTCCCATTCCTCTTTCAACTCACCTCATCACCAATTTTACTGTTTTACTGGGTCCAAAATCTGTTTTACTATAGCTCACAGACCACAAAGTCCCATATTGACGAAGTCAGAAGGTTATAATCCAGGTTAGTACCAGAATACTGTTAAGATAGCTTCCAAAATGTGCTTGCAGGCACCTCAGCCTTGAGCTTTGAGGGTTTAGGCCCATGTTACATAGATCTCAGTTCTGCCAATATTGGCTCACCACCTTCCCCACCTAGTTGTCCAGCAAACTTAGACATGACTCTTCGCTTAGCTCTGGTTGTCTTTGGTGGGGTGGGTAGCAGTCCTATCTTGTGTGGATTCTTTGCTTTGGCCATGGTTGCTGCTGCTGTAAGTATAGCTGGGGCAAGAATTTCTAAACCTGAAAGATGTGCTACATTCTCTTGCGGCTACTTCTCTTTTTTGCTAGTGGGGAGAGTATGATCTGCTCCTGGAGCCACTCAATTTATTGGCTAGACTAATCAGTCCCCATGTAGATTAGTGAGACTGCTCAATCCTTTTGTAGAATGGCAAGATAGACAATCTCCTTATGGATAGGCTAACATGTCCTATTCACATATCCCACCCATCCACATGGCACAATCTAGGTTAGTGGCTAGGAAAGCCATATTGAAAGGCAAACTCCACAAATGGTAATTGATTATCACTATTATATAAACTTTTATATCAATCATGTCTTATTAATAGAAGACCATTTAATATATATTCATTGAATTAAGTATAGAAAAGTACAATTGTATGAAGAGCAAGGGCAGCATGTTATATCTAACCTTTACCAACTTAACAAAAGGGAACTGTCCCTGTCAATGTCAGCAATATAAACCAGTTTCCATGAGGTCACACATATCCCCTATGCTCCTGCCTGCACCTCTTCTCTTCATCCCAACACCAGTCTTACTGCTGTACTGGGCCCCGAATCTGATGTGGTAGTTCACAGATCACACAGAACTGTACTGGGAAAGTCAAAAGGCTATATAATTCAGGTTAGTAGCAGAATACAGTCAAGACAGTTCTAAAATATACCTCATTTTTGAGCCTCTTGGCTTTAGCCCAGTGTTTCAAAGCTCTCAGTCCTGTCAATTATGGATCTCTCTCCCCTCCCCCTTTCCCTAGGTGTTCAACAAACTTGGGCAAAGGCTCTTAGCTCTGGTTCCATGTTGGTAGTAGTCCCAAAGTCAGGTCCATTTCATGTTGAGTAAGTCTTAGCTTTTAATTTTTCTGTTTCCTGCTTTTGCAGCCTGTCTAGAAACAACTTTTTCTGACAGGTTTTCCTATCCATGTTGTAATCTAAGAAATAGAATAATTTTCTTCAAAAGAGCCTAAACTTTTTCCTCTGTGCCCCCATCCCCAGTCTTGGTTGTGTCATTTACTGTCTGTGTACTAATGATTTAATGTGTAAAATTGTGTGATTATTGTTTTTGAGATTTTTTTTAAAGGGTTGAAGTGTCTTCTAAATTGCTTTAAAATGAAATCTTAACATACTTTGAAATTATTCTTTTGAATTTCATTTACAGTGAGCTGTTAGAGGTTGACCACATCAGAACAATATATCATATGTTTATTGCACTCCTCTTTATCTTTGCCCTCAGCACACTGGTGGTAGATTACATTGATGAAGGAAGGTAAGCCAACAGAAAATATGTTTGGTTATGAGATACACTGTTTTTCACTATCTTTATATTTAAGAAAAGATTAATTTGGTTGAAGTTACTCCAGGAAATCCATGAGCAGCTGATTGGAGGTAGATAGTACTCTCTTTTAAAGAGTGTAACCCAAATAAAAATCAAATGTTTCATTACTTTTATTTTCATATTATTCTACCAAGTGGGAGAATTTCATATGCATGGCTTTTTCTATTATGGAATGCGTTGATTAATTAAATAGCTTGCTAGAATTTAAGTTTTGGCATATAAAATGTTTAGTTATTTTTTTTAATAGTATTACTTTTACAAGATAAACTCTTAATCATAGACTAAGTTATTTTCTAGAAAAATCAAATTTTGAGATATAATTATGTGTTGTCATTTTTACTTTAACCTTCTCCATCTTAAAAAACCCAGTCTTAATATATAAAAACAATTACTATATAAATACTTTCACTGTTGATGTTATTATATGTTAGAGTTTAAAATTTTTATTTATATGTTTAAAATATTAATTTATATATGAGATATATATCTCAAGAAGTGCTTTTAGGAAAATTTGTTGATGTATTTTGAAGCAAAAATCTAGACTTTATGAGCTTAAAGCAGATCTTTATCTAGCAGCACTATTTTATCTATGACTTAATGTTTCCTAAAGTTGAAAATTTGAAGTGTATAGAAGGATCAGGGAGCTCTGATGGCTAGTGTTTAAGAATTGTGCTGCCACCTTGAAGGCATGCCATTCAAATCCACTAGCTGTTGGGCAGAACAAAGATGGGCAGTCTCCATGCATGCAATTTACTTGCCTCTGAAAACCTGCTGAAAGGTCAGTTATGGATAAGTTCTGACATCAGAAATAAGAGTCAACAGGGAGGAAGTGGTAAAAGCATATTTGATTACATTGTAGGTTTGTAATTAATACTATAAAACAAAATGTGTATGGAGTAACCAATTTGTTTTGTAAACTGTATCTTAAAAATTACAATTAAAAAAAAAAGTACTCCAGAGACTAAGGTGCACCTGATATAGGCCATGGTTTTTGCAATCACTTGTTATGCATCAGAGAGTTGGACAATGACAAGGGAGGATAGAAGGAGAATTGACGCCTTTGAGCTGTGGTCCTGGAGAAGAGTGCTGAATGTACCATGGACTACCAAGAAAACAAATAGATTCATCCTAGAGAGGGTTAAACTGGGCTGCTGCTTGGAGGCAAGGATTCTGGGGCTTCGCCTGACATACTTTGGACATGTTGTAAGGAGAGACAGGTCATTAGAGAGGGACATCATGCTGGGCAGAGTGGAGGGACAGCGCAGGAGGCGAAGACCCTCTATGAGGTGGATTGATTCAGTGACTGGGGTATTCGGGATGGGTGTGTCAGAGGCAGTGAGATTGGCACAGGATAGAGCAGGGTTTAGGGCTGTTGTACATGGGGTCACTATGAGTCGCAAACGACTCGACGGCACATAACAACAACAATAACAACAACAACTCCAGAGAAACAATAAGAAAACTTTATTATAACTGGGAGAGGGGAGAATAGATGGAAGGGGATGTTTTCTATAACTCAATTAAAAAAAAAATTTCTGAATTCTTTCTCTCTGTTTTTTCTCTCCAGATTGGTACTTGAATTCAGTCTCATGTCTTACGCTTTTGGCAAATTTCCTATTGTTGTTTGGACCTGGTTTCCTATGTTCCTGTCTACACTTTTTGTTCCCTATTTCCTCTTTCACAATTGGGCTAGTGGATACAAGAGGAATTCCTATCCAGTGCTCCGTTCTCTTGGCTATGGTTTACTTTTCCTATTATTCCAGATTGGAATTTTAGGTGTTATACCAACATATGTTGTGTTAGCTTATACACTGCCACCAGCTTCCCGGATTATTGTTATAAGTGAACAGGTAAGCTTTAAAGTGTTGTCCAAAGATCTTTTTAGTTAAGATAACAACAACCCTAGTACAAACATTCTGTGACTTTTTTTTGGGGGGTGGTCATATTAATTTAAATTGTTTTACCTGCTTTGTTATACTGTTAGCTATAAAGTGAAAATTTTTAAAAGTAGGTAGCTCACCTTTAAGATATAATACTGTACTGTTTCTGAACACTTTATAACAAAATTAATACAAGCATTTTTATAATTTATATAAACTATACTTTTGTTATGTTAAATCCTTTTTCATCATAGAATTATTTACATCTAGTTAAAGAATTTACTTCATTTTAATTGCATTCTACATGCATGAGTATGATCTAAATTGCTTGCAGGAACATGACAGTGATTGAAAAGCCCTCTGATTATTTTTACTTCCTTTTGTAGATTCGTTTTATAATGAAAGCACATTCCTTTATCAGAGAGAATGTCCCTCGAGTACTGGATTCAGCTAAAGAAAAATCAAGTATGTAATTCTGTTCAGGCAAAGGTTTCTTGCTAGCATATTTCCATCTCCAATGTTTACTGGAACAACATATTATATAAAATCTATAGAGATTAATGTTAATATTTATTTAGAAAATTGTTTCTTAATTGTTTATATTTTGCCTTTTTTATACAGTTGTAAAATAGTAATCATTTTACTTAGCATTACTAAGAAAAGGCTCCTAGCCTCATGATGCCTATGAATGCTTTTTCTTTAGTGGTTGCTTTAGCAGTTAGTTATCAAAGTAAAAAATAATGTGGATTTAAAGGATTAGTATATTGGTACATAGAATGTAGAACACAAAGGCATTGCTGTTTGGTAAGTTAAGCCTCTGTGATTGTAATTGTGAAAGAGCAACATTGACCAAACCTGGGAAACATGAGCACAATCTTGTATTGGAGAGTCTGCATGATTACTTTGCACTAACATTTACAGGATGTTCATCCAATTTTAAATTGTACTGTATGTGGCTTTTTTGAAGTCTTCCCTTGAATCTAGTAAAATGTAGTTTGAAACTTGTAAACAACTGTGTTTGCCAGAAGCATTGTTATGTGAACTAGGCAAGTTAACCTTTTTTTCCCTTTCCTTCTCCTAATCTAATTGTAAACCAGGCCAGCCTGAACATCATGGCTGATGCTCAGTAGCCATCAGGTTCTTTCAAATGCATCTTTACACTCTTGCACAAAAATTGAGGAATAAATGTCCACTGCTTTTGGTTTGAAAAAAAAAAAAAGGATTAGTATAGTAAACCAGTACAAGAATAATAAACCTGAATGGAAATCCAAAAATCTCTCTAAATGTTCATTAAAATTAATAAAATAAATTTTTTTTAAAAAAAACAACATAATGCATGAGAATGGTTGTATGAAACACAATGTGAATGAAGAATAGTGTGATATACAATATATGGAAACTTGGTAAGCAAACTGATTTAAAAAACATAATGTAAAAGAAAAAAGAATAAGAAACCATTTTAGTAGGTCAGAAGTCAAGGCGAAGAGTCTTATATGTCATTTCTGTTGAATTTTTTCTTATTTTCTCATAGCAATTTGCTGGAAAATGTCAAAGAATCTGTGATGTAAACATGGTTCTCTCTTTCCAGGCACTGTACCAATACCCACGATCGGCAAGTACTTGTATTTCTTGTTTGCACCTACACTCATCTATCGTGACAGCTATCCCAGGTAATGATAATATGAAGTAAAAAGTGTGTCACACATCAGAAATGTGGCATGAGTAAGGTTGGATAGGTAGGGGCCAGTTCATCTAGAATTCTCCATAAGATAATGAGTTTTCTTTCTGACATGAGAAGCCCTAGGATGATGATTCTGTTAACTTTGGCTTGATACAGTAATTTTTTGAAAACACTCTGTTGTTTTAAGTAAAACTATACAGCAAATTTGTTAGCCATACAAACAGTTGCATGACATCAGTTGCTATTCCTGGTTATATCAGAACTCTCCTCATTTCCATCTTTTCTTCTTGTTTTCCAGCCATCGAGTTTCCAGGATTTTGTCATCTTACATGTTTGTTGCCTATTTAACCTCTTATAGTTGATTGTTCTAAGGAGAATTTCTTCACAGATATTATCGCTTATTTTATAGTCCCATCTATGTTGTATAATTGAAACGTAACTTCTGGTTGTGACTTCAGTCCTAGGCTAACAAGAGATATTCTTAGGGCAATAGTCTTGAAGATTCTTCCAGTTTCTGTCAGTTCAATAAATCTGATCTCTATTTTTCCTTAAATTAATATCCACATTTTTTCCTCTTCAAACCAAAACCTTGTGTCTCTTGTCAGAATTGTCCATAGTGGTGACCAGGCTAATGGAAGTGCCATCTAGTTCTGGTCTAGAGCTAGAAGAGGCTTTTGTTCATAAGGGTCTTCTGTCTGGCAGTTTTTGTTTCTTGACATTTTCTTTTTCCTTCATTTTTCTTTGCCTAAGGTGTGAGAAGAACAGTAGCTATATAATAGATGTCTGCTGACAAACTTAAGACCCCAGATGCTGCTCACCAAACTAGCATAGTAGACCTTTTTTTTTTTTTAACATAACAAAATCATGACTTTATTACTTAAAGAAGTGCCATTTTTTTGTTTAGCTTTCTGTCTTTGTGCTTGTTCCTTCAGTGCTTTCAAAAAACAACTTTTTGCTCCTCAAAAAGGAAAGCATGCTAGGTCCTGTCACGGACGCACTTAGCACACATGAAACGACCAAGCTCTGCTGACAGTACTTTTTGTTTTTTATAACCTCATGAGAGCTTTAGGTCCATAGCACCAACCCATCTTAGTTGGCCTAGGTTCATGCCACAAGTGCTTCCCCAACCTGCTATACTTGGTATAAAGGTAAACAGTTCTATTACCAGGGGTTCAAGAAAGCCCAGTTTTGTTAGAGACTGTATTGTAGGGACAGCCCATGATGGTAGGTCAGATGCAGAGCCATTTTGGATCCTTCTACACAGTGTAGACTATTATTTTTAAGAACTATACCAACTGACCTAGATATCCCTTGAAGTTAAGGTCCTGAGCCCTCAATCCTAGTAGTTCAATCTCATGATGTGTTTGAATTTGTCTAGGAAATTAAATGTTTTTTAACACGTTGCCACACACTTTTAAATTGACGACCGTGCATTTTTCAATGTATTACCATCATTTGCGGCAACGTGTTAAAGGGAAACATTTTGGTGCCTCTTATATGCTCTGTTGCATATCTGTACATATGTGTATATAAATATCTACAACTGTGCCTTATTGTAGGAAGCTTTGGTATAGTGTGTGGAGAGTTTCGTTGATAACCTAATGACCATGCTTCTCAGGTAATTAGAATCCACTCAACTGCTCTACAGGTGAAAGATGGGCATTCTCCCTTGTTTTTACAGCTTTGGAAACCCAATGGAGGGTCAGCTAGGAGTTGGTTCTGATTCATGGCAATGACATGTTTACCTCTACAATCAAAGTATAGAGGATTCAATTACCTTTTTCAAAATCTCCAATCATTATTATATGTTAACTTTGAAAACTTGGTACTTTTCTCCCACACCAAAAAATAAGCCATAGCCCTCTAAAGATGGTACCTCGGTGATGGAATATGAGTTGACATGAACCTATAATTAAATGGAACAAGATGAATTGACAGAGTGGCTTTATCCATGGGCTGAAACATGTCAGAGATCATGAGGATGGTGCAAAGTACAGCAGGGTTCAGATCTGTTGTGCATATGCTTACTGTGAGTCTTAGCTGGTGTGATGGCCCATAATAACAAGCTCTATAGATTAAAATTGAGAGGATAAAAAGAAGTAATCATGACCTTTGAGTTCAAAATTTTTTGAAAATTCATTAAACAGAAATAAAACATTTCCATTCTCATGAGTCAAAACTTGTGTTAGACTGGAGTCAGACCTGACTCAACATCGAGAGAGATGTCTGTATCTGCACACCATAAGCCTTCTTGCACCTGGATAGCACACATGTCTACCCAAGTAACCCTCACCAGTGTTGTCACTACTACAGTTACATCTTGGAAAAAGGATGGGCCGTTTCCTCCTGTGCGATTAACTCACCAGAGGTCAGCTGTGGGTCATTTCTGATTCCATGGTACACAACACCACTAACATTGTTATATAGTATTATTTATATTACAGCATTTAATGTGATAGTTCTTTATTCCTACATACTTTTGAAAGTCTATTTACCATGATAACGTTCTCTCATAATTATGCATTACCTTTCACTTCACCAGAATGAACTAGGATCTAGTGAGTGATTCTGCCTTTTTCACCCTTCGTCCTTGGTAACCATCAAAGAATGTAGTAACATCTGTGTGTAAACTTACTCTTCCTATAACAATGATACAGTATTTATTCTTTTGTGGTTGACTTATTTTACTTAGTATAGTGTTTTCTACATTCATCCAGGTTGTGTTTTGTAGTTTCATAATTATTTATTATTCTGTTATGTATGTACTAAATTTTGATCATGCATTCACTCATTGATGGTCACTTAGGTTATATCTATCTTTTTTACCATTTCAAATAATGCTGCGGTGAACATAAGTGTGCATGTGTTTCTTCATATCACTCCTCATATTTCCCTTGGATGCATACCTAGGAGTGGAATTTCTATATCATGTGGGATTTATAGTTCAAACTCTTTGAGAAAGTGCTGTATACTATTTTGTATAGTGATGGTATGTAGAGTTCCAGTTTCCTCAACAGCCTCACTAGCATTTATTGTTTTGTGTTTTAATCAGTACTGTTTTTGCAGGAATGGGATGGTATTACATTGTAGTTTTGATTTTCATCTGTCTAATGATTGTGAGCACCTACCTCTTCATGTGTTTGTCAACAATTTCTTGGATATTGTCTTTGGTGAAATGTCTTTTCATGTTCCTTATCCTTTTTTTTTTGGCTTGGTTTGTTTTGTTAGGGTCTATAAACAGAGTTCTCCATGGATACTATTAATTGTGAATGGTGCTAAAGTTTGTTTATTTAGGAAGTTATTTTTATTTCTTTTTAGGACTCCCACTGTAAGATGGGGCTATGTTGCTACACAGTTTTTACAGGTATGTCTCTGTATTTTTTTTCAACTGCCTGATGTTTGTTGATTTGTGGGAGATGAAAATTCCATTTTACAATCATCTAATCTTATTAAAGTGTGGTTAAAATTTATGTTTACTCAGAACTTAAGAAGTTTTTGTTAAGATAATGAAATCTTAGCAATGTTTTAAATGGGATTTATTTTCACTAATGTCAAAGGTATTTCTCAATTTAAAAGCATTATTTTAAATGTAATATAAATCCATTTGGTTTCAATATAGCACCCTCCCCAGTTTGTATGTGCAAAGTTGGGAAATAGATACGGTTTGGACTCTTACTACCCCCAATGATCAGAATCAAAGTCTCATAAAATCCTAATTTATGCACTTGTCTAAATCATACACCATTTATGAAATGCATCCATCTTCATTTTTCTACCTACTTTTTCAATGAAATATTGTATAAGGCATAAAAAATCCAAATATAATAAAATAGAATAATCAAATATTCTGAAACTACCATTTAGTGAAGGACTACAAGAGTTTGTGACAAAAACTGGCTTAAAAGATAATGTTTTGGTAGTATTCTACACTAAAACCTTGTTTTCATGTTGACTCATAGTAACACCATGTTCTACAGAGTAGAAATGCTCTGTATTGCTTTCCTGGCTTAATCTGAGTGAGAGCATTTCACCAAACCTTTCCACCTTTCCCTACACCATTGTGGGGTGAGTTTGAGCTTTCACCATTTGGTTAGTAATTAGCTTAGCATAGTCTAAATGCACTACCTAAAGAGTTGACAATTTTCTATACTAGACTTAAATGAAATGTGTAGCCACACATACATATATACACACACATGTATATGGATTTGTATGAAAGCCATACTTGAAGACTCAAGTATGTACTTCCTGTTGGGGGGAAAAATTACTCTTTTCTTATTATTAAGTCTTTATTATCTCTGTTTTCAGACGTTTGGATCCTTTTTTTATGTGTATTACATCTTTGAAAGGCTCTGTGTCCCCTTGTTTCGGAATATCAAACAAGAACCCTTCAGTGCTCGTGTCCTGGTCCTGTGTGTGTTTAACTCTATCTTGCCAGGTAACAAGGATACTGATTAATTTGGTCATTCATATATTTCCAGGGATGATAAAAAGCTATTGCGTAGAAGTGCTTTTATTTACCTCTTTTTCCTTCAGAAAGTCATGTATACCTATTATTTTTCTCCTATTTATCTCATAAATAAGTTGTCATTCTAGTCTTGGACCAAATCTCTCATGTATCTTTGGCTTTCATTTAAGTCTTACTTTTCTTGTGTGTGGCCAATCTATATTTATGCTTCTACCCACTCTTCCCCCATTTAGTTCATTACACTGTTGCTCCTAATCTCACCAGGCCACTAAATAGCCTTTGTTAATATCATTAATAACCTGTTGATTGTAATTCAATAAATACCCATGATGTTGCTGACCACTTGCTTTTTAAATATCATCCCTTCTACTATTTTTTTATTCTCTTGAATTATTTCTGGTCATACCATAATGTTCTAATTTCATTCACATTCCCCAGAGATAAAATCTACACTAAACAGCTGCTTAGAATGTTGTCTTGGTATATGATTGCTAAAGGATCTTGTGTACCAAATTAAGTCAAACATCCAAAATCTTCTATTAAAAACTCACTAGATTATTTGTTGTCTGTAAAACCTACTTGAAAATTGTCACTATCTTAGATGAATGAAGAAGAACAATGTCTTAACATTAAATTTATGTAAGCAAATGATGATGTAGAATTAATGTTTCCATATGTAAGCTATTGGGAAGACTCTTTATATTGTTAATCTTACGTTTAGTTGTCCTAATTCTTGATATTCATTTTTTTTTCAAAGGTGTGCTGATCCTATTACTTACATTTTTTGCCTTTTTGCATTGCTGGCACAATGCCTTTGCTGAGATGTTACGCTTTGGTGACAGGATGTTTTATAAGGTAATATACATAGACTTGGAGTGGTAGGGGGTTTTCCTCCTGAGATCTTATATTGCAACTTTTTTCTTCCCTCTGTAAAGTAGAAATTTGTTTTAATTTACCTTTGATGATTTTTTAAATTTTTTATTATTATTTTAATGAAAATTTACAAAGATTTTGGATTTCCATTCATTTATTGTTGCACTTTTCTCCCTGCCCACCTGTCCCCTCTAGTTCATTCTTCTCTTTGAAAAGTAAAAGAAAAATTGTTTCACTGTTATATAATCCCTCCTCCCAAGTGCACTCCACTATGCAGCCTTCCTTCTGGACTCATGACATGACAATAATACCTAATCATATATACCTTTTAAACAGTTTCTCTTTCTCTCTCTCATCTGTTTCAATGCAGTATGCATAATTTATCTGATTGTTCTCAGTCTCCCCCTGCCCCCAACCCCTGTTTCAGTCCTATTTTTTAACAGTGGCAATATGCAGTATTTGTCCTTTTGTGACTGAGATATTTCAAACAGCATAATGTCCTTCAGGGTCATCCATTTTGAATAATATTTCATTGCAACATTTTTTATATAAACATTGTTAGATATTTTTTCTTACCATGGTTTTATCAACTTTAAGTCTGAAATTCTGAAGTAGATTAATTAATATTGTCTCTTCTGTGGATATACTATCTACTCGTTTCATACAGCAAGCAAGTGATTTTTGCCACCAACCTGTGAGGACTTTTTATAGTTCAAGTAGGAAACCACATGTCCACAAGGCACTATGAGACATTTTTTTGACTATTCATTTATTTAAATTGGCCATGTAGTACTGACTACAATTACTGTTTTTCTGGTCTACAACTTAATGGTACCAATTATATTTATCAAGTTGTGCACCTAATTAATTGTCAAATTTGCATTGCTTGTTCAATATTTCACTTTCCCCCTCTCCCTCCTGCTCCTGTCAACCACTAATAAACATTTTACTGTACTTGTTATTTTATATATGTAAGATCATTCAATTTTTTCCCTCTTGTGATTGAACATAGTATTTTCAACAGTGTTGTAGAGTGTATCATGACCTCTTTATGACTATTACTAATTGCAGTTGATTAATTCTTTATAGTGACTAGTACACTATTGTATATTGCCTTTATCTTCAACCAGCTTCCTATTTTATTTTTTCTCTCCTTTCCCTTTCCATTCACATGATTCTATGTGTAAACTTTTCCCTTAGTTTTTCATAATAATGATCTTATGCCATAATTGTCTTTTTGTGACTGATTAGTAATGCATAGTATTCTGTTAGAGCAGGGTAACACTGCATGGTTCAAAATTGGGAAGGGTGTACGCCAGGGATGCATCCTGTCTCCATACCTTTTCAACATGTATGCAGAGCAGATTATCCGAGAAGCTGGGCTCTATGAGGAGAATTGTGGCATCAGGATTGGTGGAAGATCTATTAACAATCTGCGTTATGCAGATGACACAACCCTGCTTGCTGAAACTGAGGAGGACCTCATGCACTTGCTGCGAAGGGTCAAGGACTGCAGCCTTCAGTATGGACTAAGGCTCAATGTCAAGAAGACAAAGATTCTCGCCACTGGACCAATTGGCAGTGTCAGGATGGATGACGAAGAGATTGAGAGTGTTCACAGCTTCAGTTTGCTCGGCTCCACAGTCAACACTCTTGGCACCAGCAGTCAGGAAATCAAAAAGCATATCGCGATGGGAAAGTCTGCTGTTAGGGACCTCTCAAAGGTACTCAGGAACAACAGTGTCTCTCTGGAGACTAAGGTGCGCCTGATACAGGCCATGGTCTTTGCAATCGCTTGTTATGCATCAGAGAGTTGGACAGTGACTAGGGAGGACAGAAGGAGAGTGGATGCTTTTGAGCTGTGGTGCTGGAGAAGGGTACTGAATGTACCATGGACTGCCAGGAAAACAAACAGATTCATCTTGGAGAAGATTAAACCAAGCTACTCCTTGGAGGCAAGGATTCTGGGGCTTCGTCTGACATACTTTGGACATGTTACCAGGAGGGACGGGTCCTTGGAGAGGGACATCGTGCTTGGGAGGGTGGAGGGACAGCGCAGGAGGGGAAGACCCTCTATGAGATGGATTGATTCAGTGACTGGGGTAATCGGGATGGGTGTGTCAGAGGCGGTGTGGTTGGCGCAGGATAGAGCAGGGTTTAGGGCTGTTGTGCATAGGGTCGCTATGAGTCGGAAACGACTCGATGGCACATAACAACAACAAACAACAACAGTATTCTGTTATGTAAATATACCATAGTTTCTTGAGCTGTCTCTCCATTGATAGGCGCTTGAGTTGTTTACAACTCTTTACCATGTTAAGCAAAAGTGTTGTATATATCAGTTTGTGTTGCAGACCTTATTTCTTTGGGATCTTCACCTAGTAGTGGGATTGCTGGATCAAATGGTGTCTCTATTCCCAACTTTCTAAGGAAACACCAAGTTAATGTCTATCGTGGTTGCACCATTTTACATTCCCACCAACAGTATAGGAAAGTTCCACCAAACACTACTTAGTATTATATCAAGTCTACATGACTTTAAAATTCTCTCATTATTTTTGAAAGGATAACGAATATTTGCTGTTTGTTAAGTCAGTGAACATTTTGTTGTTGTTGTTGTTATGTGCCATTGAGTCGCTTGCGACTCATAGCAACCCTATATACAAGAGCTCTAAACACTGTTCTATCCTGTGCCAACCTAGCCATCTCAAACGCACTTATTCCTACCACTCCAGTCACAGAGTCGATCCATCTAATCGAGGGTCTTCCTCTCTTTCACCACCCCTCCACTCTGCCAAACATGATGTCCCTCTCTAAGGACCAGGTCCCTCCTTGCAACATGCCCAAAGTAGTCAGACGAAGCTTCAGAATACTTGACTCCAAGGACCGGCTTCACCTTCTCCAGGACAAACCTGTTTGTTCTCCTAGTAGTCTATGGTATATTCAACACTCTTCTGCAGCACCACAGCTCAAAGGCATCAATTCTCTTTCTATCAACCCTATTCACTGTTCAGTTCTCTGATGCATAGCATGTAATTGCGAAGACTATAGCCTGGATCAGGTGCACCTCAGTCTCCAGCCTGATGTCGTTGCTCTTCAGTACTCTAGAGAGGTCCCTCACAGCCGACTTTCCAGGCTGCTGTTACCAAGAGTGTTGATTGTGGAGCCAAGCAAACTAAAACTGCTAACTATCTCAATGTCTTCACCATCCATACTGATGCTACCAATTGGCCCAGTGGTGAGAATCTTTGTTTTCTTGATGTTGAGCTTCAATCCATATAGGAGGCTGCAGCCATTGACCTTCTGCAGCAAGCGCTTCAGGTCCTATAATGAAATGTGCAGAGAGCTGGAGTCAGAAATCAAAAGGGCCAAACTCTCTCAGCATTTCTTAAGCTAAAGGAGCTGAAAAACAAATTCAAGCCACGAATGGCAATACTTAATGATACTTTGGGTAGAATGTTAAATGATCCAGGAAGTATCAAGAGAAGATGGAAGGAATACACAGAGTCACTGTATCAGAAGGAACTGGCTGACACAGAACAATTTCATGAAATGATGTATGAGCAAGAGCCTATGGTGATGAAGGAGGAAGTTCAAATTGCTCTGAAGGAATTGGCAAAAAACAAGGCTTCAGGCATTGATGGCATACCAATTGACATATTTCAACAGACAGACGCTGCCCTGGATGTCCTCACTAAGTTGTGCCAAGAAATGTGGAGAAGAGCCAGCTGGCCCACTGACTGGAAAAGATCAATATTTGTTCCCATTCCAAAGAAAGGTGACCCAAC